TGGGACCTGGCCAGGGTTGGGTTAGAAGGTACGTCTCCGCGCCAGGGGCAGATTCGGCCTCGGGGAGGGAGGCCGCCCGGGCCGCCTCGGACCGGATCTCCTGAACAAAGTTGACCCAGTGGCGCGCGGGGGCAGGGAACAGAGATGAAACAGCTCGGCCTCGGTAGGGATTGTAACTTGCATTTTCTTCCATTCACTTTCCATAAACGCTTTGGTATTTCCAGGCTCTTTGCAAGTGTCTGCCTGTCTGGCGTCTTGCTCCACGACGTCCCTCTCCCGCGCATCTTTCTTTTGTCTTCTGCCCCCGGCCTCGCTGGGCCTGCGGAGCCGGAGGAGAGGAGTCTGGGGTCGGGTCGCGGAGACCGAGGTTTCCCAGGGGACGCAGCCCCACCCCCCCCCCCAGGACCCCCAGCACCAACCCGCTCCGCGTTAGACTCCAGGGACAGAGGCGAGGTGCGGGGCCAGTTTGTGCGGCGCGGATCCCCGCGCCTGGATCCACGCTCCCAGCCGCCGGGTGCAGAGGGCGGAGGGAGGAGCTGCCCACCAGCGGGCTGGCGGCTGGCGGCAAAATAGGGAGGGGGTGGGGTGGTGGTCTGGAAGGATTAGGTCCCAGGACTCCTAGCAGGCCTCGGCGATCGCTCCCCGCGACAGTCCTGTTCTTCCTCTCTTAGTCCCCCGAATCCCTCCTTCTCCAGGCCCTCGAAGGGAAGATTTCAATGAAAACGGACACAACCGAAAAGAGAGTGCAGAGCCGAACCTTCGGGGTTTGCCTCCTCCAGGCTGTTTAGAAGGAAATGGGTACACACGAGGCTCTGAGACTCTGAAGGGGTTGGAGAGGAAAGCAAGTTTGCCTAGGGGAGGGCGGAAGATGCAGGTGCCCCCCGCGCCGCGACCCCTTCCCTGGCCCATTTCTTTCCAAAGACACTGCCAACGCCCTTCCGCCGGGGCACCTCCTCTTGCCTAGCTTCCTGAGCCCTAGGAACCTGGGCCCGCCAGTCTCTGGGGACTCGGTTCCTTGATCACGGAGGCTCCGCGGAGCCCCAGCCTCAAGGCCTGGCCAGGTCCCCAAAGGCGCAGAGCGGCTGGGGGAGCATCTTCGGGGAGGGCCGGGGTCGTAGCCGTCTGGGCGCCCAGGCTTGAGAACCCATCTTGAACAGGCGCGGCGGGGCAGGACGCGGAGAGAAGGGCCCGAAGTCTCTAGAAGGGAGAAAAGAGCAGTTAAATCTTGTTAGCTGAGCGAGGTGCTCACAGTATCCATCGTCCTCCCTGGGGAAAGGAGCTTTTGCAATTTCTGCAAAGGGTACCAGAGGAGGCGGTGTAACTGCTCGACCCAGGAGCTTGGAAAAGCTTGAGGCTACACAAGGCCTCCGCCTGCAGGAGTAAGGGAACTTTGGACTTCGCGGACCAACTCTGGCCTTTCCTCCCCGCTCTTTTTGAGGGTTGTAGATCTAAGGCCCCAGAACCCCGGGGAAGGTAAAGAGGGTCTTTAGGAACAAAGGTTTAGCCGATCCTGCCAACTGCCTGTCGGTTTTCCTTTTCTAAGTGTGACTTTCTCCCTGCCTTAAAGACGGGTCACTAGCTTAAAAGGCATCCTGAGGATTCTAGCCCTGGTTTCTCCAAATACCTTAGCCCGCTAGGTATTTAGCCCATCTTTTTAAATGTAAAGAATCGTTTTGTGTGTGTGTGTGTGTGTGTGTGTGTGTGTGTGTGTGTGTGGAATGAAGGGATCCTTGTGCTTCTAGATTGAATTCAAAACTGCTTAAACTTAAGAACTTTTGAGAAGGTGACAAATTGCTGTTAAAAGAAAATCAGGCCAAGAATTCATTCTTATTTTTGCAGCAATGTACTCTTCTTTCTCGCATCAGTAAATCGAGAATTTAACGGAAAATGCCAGTTAGAATCGCCTGGAAACTCACTCCTCCAAGCAAACCAGCCTGCACCTGGCTAAGTCCCTTCCCAGTGGAGGCAAGTTGGGCAGGATGAAGTGGCTGCTCCATCCTCAATAAATCTAGAAACTGCAGATTTATCTGACTCCCATTCTTTTCTTAAAGGATTACTTTCTCCTAGTATCTAGGTCTGAAGTGTTTGTGTGACCCAGAAAGAGACGGATAAGTCCAGGGGATCTCCTCAACACTAGAAACAGTGTCTCCTCTCTTCAGCGCCCAATTCTAAAGAAGGAACGAAGCCTACCACTAAGCCGGTGGTCAGGCATCTTGTCTTTCCCCAGGCTCATGCCTTTGAAAACAGGACTCAAAAGAAGCCAGTGACTCAGGGAAAGTCGTTTTCCTGATTGATGAAACTTCTCCCTCCTCTCTCTTTTCTAAATAATAAACTCACAGGGAAAGGCTGGACGGCTGCCTTGTGTTGGTTTCAAATAAATCCTCAAAAGCTCTTTCCTCACCCAGAGAAATGAATCACCCTTGGGAAACAGACGATTATTCCCCCATTTATCTGCCTAAAACCAGAGGAAATAAGCACCCTCCACTGTAGACCCTCACTTAGATCTTTCTCCCTGGCAGTGGGGGAGCTGGGGGTAAAAAGAGATGGAGGAGAATGAGTTAAATAGACCCAGGACCCACAGAGGTGTCCTCCCAGGGAGGGGCAGTGGGGACCCAGGAAGGAAGGGGCAGATGCTTCCTAGATGGGATATCTATGCTGGTTCCTGGAGAGAGACAGCTCTATGGAGAGAAACCACCTGTCTCCTCCCCTTGAAGCAGATCTTAGGTCTCAGCCAACAGGGAGGTGATATTACAGCTAAGCTCGAGACATTCTGGTGTGGTACATTGCAATCAGGTTTCTATTATCCTTGATGGGGAACAGAGGCACATGCTGTTCAGGTTATTATCCCTAGAACTTGATTTCCTGTCCTCTATAAACAAGTAAACAAAACCTTCTTGTGCATTATTTTTGCTTACACAAGCTATCTGAAAATGTTACGGGGTGGCAAGAGAGATAAGTAATTGATTAAAATAACCCATTTTAGCCATTATTTATGTAGAAGACTTTTTCTCTCTTTCTCTCCTTGCCCCTACCCAATAACACTTCCAAATAATTTGTATTCAACTAACAGGATCTGCAATCTTCTAAGGGAGGAAAGAAGAGAAAGTTCCCACTACACATCTGGAGATGTTGAGACTTGGGTGGTCACTGGCCTCACTCCAGGCTCACCTTCGAAAGCACAGGGGCCTTCCTTACCTCTGAGGAATCTGCTACCAAGAGGCTGGTGGGGGGCTGAGATTTCAATTATTTTTTTAAGATTACTTTTCTTTGATTTTTAAAACACATACTGGATTTTATTTTGCTTGATTTTTTAAAAAGCCACACAGACAATTTAAAGTGAAAAGAAGTTAACTTACTGTTTCATTCTCATCTGTTGCCAACACAGCCAGTGCAGTCACAACTCTGCCTCTCATTTCTTGTCACTCTGGGTTTCCAGATCACTTGAAATAAAAAATCTCAATTGCTGAGTTCATGAAAGTCTGATTATTGCAGAGAAATAGGAGTTGAAATATCACAAGCCTACCAGTGTGGACAAGGCCCCCGCTTAAAGGACATTTAATTGTAATAATTAACACCAATATGTCTGACCTCTTTACCTTTAAATGATGAGGAAAAACAGCTTTGTGTTAGTCCGCCCACCCAGATCTCTCCCCTACTTCCAGCTACACTTTACTGGGTCCACATGTTCCCTCCCCACTCCCCCCACCTTCAAAAATTTTAGGCAAAGGCAAAGCCAGGATTTAAAGTTTCTTTTTTATTTGAAATCTCATCCAGAAACACTGGTTATTAATAAATATATCATAGTTATCAAGAATATATAAAAAATAAAGACAGGTCTTGTCTTTGAAGCCCTAACAAAATATTTCAAGCAAATGTTCAGGAAAATAAAACCAGCACCCCTCCCCAAACCACAGTAAGTTTTCAAAGCTGATGATGGAGAGAGCGGCCCCGCATGCAGAATAACTGAGCAAGGGGGGGTGGGGTGGGGGTGGGGCAAGCTAGTAGAGGGAGCCCAAGCTCTTGCAATCACCGGCCCCAGAAACAGCCCAGGAAAGTTGGGAATGAAGTTTGAAGGCGGGTGGGGGTGGGGGAGAAGCGCCTGTGCGTGAGTTTGGGTGTTTGCACTCTGCCCCCTTGTTCATTTCCCACAACCACAGACAGATATATGGAGTACTTCGGAGAATTCACTAATAAATCCTTGTTACAAGGAAAATGGCACCATGGCCTGCACAACATGTTTAGAAGAGATTCATTTAGAAGCGTGCATGCATTCTTTCAACCTACACTGCATCTTAAGGAAAACCCACAGAAGAGTTTATCATGCCCTGGACCGGAGTTGAAATTCAAAACTTGGGTCTTGAGATACATTTTGTCTCTGAGATACATTTTTTTTTCTCCCTCTCTTTTTCTCTCTCTCCCTCTCCTCTCTCTCCCTCTCTCTTTCCCTCTTATCTCTTTTCCCCCCCTCTCTCTCCCCACATTGTCTCTAGAAAATCAACTGTCCAGCGGATAGACAGTCATAACTGCACCCATCAAAGGGAAGTATTTACATTTGTTTCTCACAAAAGGGATGGTTGTCTTTTCCAAGGTAAGCACGCAGAGCCAGAGAGAGCCAACTCGAAAGTCCCTTCGCCAAGTGTTTAACTACACCGATCCTGTCTTTATACAACAAATGCACTCTTGACAAGAGCCTATGGCAGTGAGAAAAAGTGGCGCGGCATGGAAAAGAAGCATGCATGCAAGACACACGACGTCTGATTCCAGTCCCCCTTCGTTACCACCTAGAGATTGCAGTTTGGTCTTAGTTCTGTCCCTCCGGGGGTCAAGTAGGATCTGAGATCTCTCAGGCAGTGTGGGAGGCCACTGGGGGGTCCCACCGCCGCCCACCCTCCCACGGGCCACGCGCCCAGCTTCCCCTTCCTTCCGGGCCCGGCACCTCGACCCGACCCCTCCCGCCCGCCGCTCTCCCCTCAAACTCCGCAGCCGGGCCGGCCCGCTGCTCACTTGAGCAAGTCCTTGGACTCGGCAGACAGCCTGGCCATGTTCGCGGTGGACAGGGCGGACAGGTGCGGCGGCGGCGGCATCTGGCAGATGGTGCAGGCGCAGGGCAGCCCGGCCCAGTGCTGGAAGCCGCTGCCCAGCTGCAGCGCGGGAGGCGTGGACGGCGCCTTGAGCAGCGAGTGGGGAGGCCGGATGGTGCCGATGGCGGGCAGCGAGGCAGCGGACAGAGGCGACGAGGCGTTGCCAGACGAGAGAGCGCCGCCCAGGATGGGATGCACCGGGTGCACGGCGTTGGCGGCGTGCGCTGGGTGGCCGGCCGAGTGGCCCACGGTCCCGCAGTGGAAGGCCGAGTGGTGGCCCCCGTATATCTCACCAACCAACCTCTTCATCTCTTCCAAGGAGCTGGTGAGCATGAGGATGTAGTTTCTGGCCAGCAGGAGAGTGGCGATCTTGGAGAGTTTGCGCACCGAGGGCCCGTGCGCGTACGGCATGACCTCGCGCAGCCCGTCCATGGCTAGGTTCAGGTCGTGCATCCGCTTGCGCTCGCGCCCGTTGATCTTCAGTCTCAACTGCTGGAGGTCCTGCTCCGACAGCTGCTTCTTGATTTTGTATTTGCTGCTCTCGCCCGCGGCCTTGGCGCCGGCCCGCGAGAGGCTTTCCCCGGGCATCTTCTGTACCATGTCGCCCTGCGTGGACGAGACGGAGTTGAGGCGGCTCTCCTGGTGGTGGTGATGGCGGTGGTGGTCCCTCAGATACAGCTCGTCCATGTCCGGAGATGAGGCTCTGCTGGAGACAGAGCTTGAATCAGAATTCATTTTATTATAGGGGATGCGGCCCTACCGTGGGGAAGCTTTAGGCGGGAAATTAGAGAAAATCTTGAATTAAAAAACAAAAACAAAAACTGCAGAACCCAGCAGCCCACTTCTCAGCGGCAAGACGTGAGAAGAAAAGCCGAGACACTGCCTTTCCCCGCCTTTCTCCCTCCCCACTCCCTTCTCTCTGGTTCGGCTGTTTCCTGGACAGCTCGTTGGTGAGTGCTTGAACTAACCTCACGCTGAAAAAGAGGGGCTTTTATAGAGCTGCGGCGGAGAAAAGAGACAAAAGGAACCCTCCTATCTATCCTGGGCTGGTTAGGATGACGTGCCATCATTCAGGGCGGTGCGCTTTGCTGTCCCATTTAGCAAGGATTCCTATTCATATTCATTGTGGGGCCGCCCTGGGACACCTCTGCTCAGAACTGCTAGGAGCCCCCAGGCACAAAACCCTCTGATTGACACTCTCACCGCTCCAGCTCGCGCCTTCTGGATTAAAAAAAGAAAGAAAGAAAGAAAGAAAAGGAAACAACTTTCCTCCACCCCACTCCCCTTCCTAATTTCCCTAACCAAAGCACACCTCCAGGCACCGAAGGAAGGAAATGGAAGGGAGCCAGGTGGAGATTCCTCTGGGGTTGGAAAGAGGAATTGAAACTCTCTCCTCTCTTTCACAGCTACTCCCAAGTTTTGGAAAACGTGGGCAAAAAGAAGCTTCAGTAGAACGGTTTCAATGACGGGGATGCACAGGAAGGGCAGGTTCAACATGCCGGGGTCAAGGTGGGAGGGACGGGATGCCTGCCGACGTTCACGGCCTGAAGGTCATTTCATTAGGTTTCTTTCCCTATTCACGGACATTGTGCTTATTTTGTTTATGGGGCCCTCCGGTGCGGTTGTAATGGGATGTCCGTATCTGGTGACGGGGGTGTGCCCCCAACGCTGCTGTGAGAATGGGTCTCTGGCTTTTTATATCTTTTCTTTCGTTTTGAAAAATAGATTACTGAAAGAATTTCAATGTTGCCAGATTCTGTAACTTCTTAGACCTGGAAACGAGGAAACAAACCTACCCGGGCGTTCCAATGAGAGCCACTTGAGGAGACAAGAGGAAAAGTGGCCGGGGAGGAGGAGGGAGGGAGTTAAGGATTGCAAAGTTTCCCGAGAACGCCGGGACAGACTGTTTTTTCTCCGGCCACCCCCAACTCCCGGACCCCGGCGCTGGCTGAAGATGGCGGAGGGGTCCCCCTCCCGCCGGAGGGCCTTCGAGCGCAGTGCGCGCCCGGGCGGAGCATCGCGGCTCCGCGTTCCCCGGCCGGGGCCGCCCCACACCCGCGGTCCGGGAGAGCGGGAGCTCAGGGTCGAATAATAAACTACGACTGTGGGTATGTGTGTGTGCGTGTGTGGTTTGGCACCATAAGATCTGAAGAGCCTCTTGTGCGTCCGCGCGTGGGCCCTGCGGGCCCGCGCAAGTCCATGCTGGGGAATAAAGAGGAGGCCAGCAGTTTGGAGCCTTCGGTTCCAGGGGGGAGCTCGGCGCCGACCTTTCTTCCCCCTTGCTGAGTTTTTGTCAGTCGGAACAAGCTAAGCCGCGTGAGAGGCCGGAAGGCAGAAATCCCCGGAAGGGAAGCGGCCCAAGGGGCAGCCTCTAGAAAAACCTGGGCACCTCAACGCTCCGGCCTCGGAGGAACCGGAGAAAAATATTAGGCTGCGGCTGAGAGTCTGGGTGACAAGTGCAAAACTGAAACAATCCCGGAATCTCGAGCAGTCAGGGCCTCACACTGCGCCGCAGAGTCGCTGCAAGCCTCCAGGACTCGCGAGGTAAAAGAGGCTTCACTTTTCATTGACGCAAATGGAGCGGCCGACAGGAGAGAGATGCACGCCCAGGTCCCGAGCTCGCGCGCTCCGTGAGGCTGTGCCTCGTCACCGTCACGCCGCGAAAGCAGGTCGAGTGGGGAGACGCGACGTGGGGACGAATCCTTTCTCGACACCGATCACTGCGTCTCCGTAAAGAAAAAATAAAGGAAATGGCCAGCACCCCCTCGTCAAGGCCAGGATCTTAGTGCCCTTGAAATTGGGCAGAAGCCTCTCATTCTCCTGTCGCTTCCAAAGAAAGTTTCTTAAAACGAAAAATCCGAGGGATTCGGTTGGATGTGGAGAGACTGGTGTCCAAACGCACTCCTAATATCCAAGCAAAAGGAATGTTTCCTAATGCACCGGACTGGCCCATCTGAACTCAGATAACGACATCCCCCGAGCTGCTTTTGAGCAAAAGGGTTCCAGAACGCACACGTTCGGACAACGCCCCAGGTGATGGACGGAAGCTGGGGGAAGAGGCGTGGTCCAGACCACAGCCTTCAGAGGCTCTGCTGCTGATCAAGGTGTGTGGAGCCGGGAGCGCTAGACCCGAGCTGAAGCGGCTTCCTTGCCTTTGGGCCAGTACACAGGCCCGGCCCCCTGTCAAAACCACCTTCCTGACCCTTGGGTATCGACCTCTGTCCTTCCCATGCCCCAAGCGAGAATGCTCAGTTTTGACTTCAGGAAGTAGTAGAAAGGTCTAGTTTGAGCAGAAGGGTTGCAAATAAAGGAGTAGAAAAATCAGGCCGCTGAAAGGTATTTACCTTTTAAAAATATCCCTATTTCCTCAATGGACAATATGAAATAAAGTGTAAAATCTCCCTCCTCCCCCCGCCCTGCCAATTAATAGAGAAGGTAAAGTTGCAGGGGGAGCGGGGAGGGAAAGAGTGTGTGGTGGGGGTGGGGGTGGTGGTAGGGAGCAGTCCGCTCAATACAAGCTAAAGAATTCACTTGCGGGGCTGAAGAGACTGGGGGCTGTGTTTTGGAAGTCTGAAACAGAAGCCTCTTCCCCCCGCTGCATCTTTCCACGGAGACAGGGACAGAGGCTGACAGCAGCCAGGCCCAAGGGGGGCTGCACTGGGTGCAGAAGGGGCGCCGGGCCCCTGCCTGCACGGACCTGATCCACTCCATCCCCAAAAGGTTTTCGGCTCCAGTACGGAGGCAATGCTTGGAGTGTGTCCCGGCCTGAGGTCCTCGGGCACAGTCTGGGACGCGCAGGTCCTTTCCTCTCTAGTCGCACTCTGCTTTCCCCAAGGGCCACTTTGTGTGAGCCTGGGGTGGCTCAGGCAAACACTTTGAGCCTTCCTGGAGTCCCATCCTCTCCTGGGAGGCTTGTTCCCCCCTCCTTGGCTCTTGGCAAAGAGGGAGAGTGACTGTAGTTTTGCTCGCCATAAAATGGGTTGGTACTAGCCAGGGCCGAAACGGCAGAGGCGTGCACCAGGCCCGGGGGCGCTGCTCCTGGGCGCCGGTCTCGCGGAGTCGCTTTCGACTCGGAAAATGCACTTCCACTCGACTCCCCCACCCCCGAGCTCAGCCCCTCGGGATAAGCCCGCAGCCCGAAAGGGAGCAGGATGGAAGTCCCACTCGGGCAAGCAGATGGATTGCTTTCCGAGGGTCGTCTCTGACGTCGCCCACCCCCCGGCCCGTGCTGGGAGGGGAGAGGAAGGCAGCCGGCGTTGAGCCGAGCCAGCGGCTGCCTAAAGGAACCTCAACTGGAGACACGCCGCGACCTTGGCCCCGGCCGGGGGCCCGTCCTGCAGGCCTGGAGCGGAGTGAGCGGGCGGGGGGCAGCGGGGCCGCGCTCTCCAGGCCACACCCCGCGCCCTGGCTGCCCGGGTGGGCGACGGCGGGGAGGCGGGGGTCGTGCTCCGGCAACAGGTGCATCCCAAGGCCCGCGGGCTTTTCCCGGCCGGGCAGTCTCGGGTCTGGGAAGAGCCTGTGAGTTTCTCAGCCTCTGCACAACACTAGAAAAGTAGCAGGTCGGCGCGGGGACCCGAGAGGAAGAGCCGCCCTGCCTGGCCGGCGCGCCCCTGGCGCACAGCCTTAGCTCCGCAGCCCCGGACGGGACGCAGCCCCGGCTTCGGGGGACCGCGCCCTCCAGCGGCTTCGCGGCTCTTCCCGACCCCCTCCCATCTCCAGATCGACGGGGGGCCGTGTCTTACCGGTGGCCCGGTGCGCGCCGCTCCGCAGCTCCAGCCGCCGAGTTCCCCGCCAGAAGCTGCCGCTCTGCCCGAGGCCGCGGCGATTTGGGCGCAGGAGCGATCGCCACCCCTCACCGCCCCCAAACCCTCCTAAGAGTCCAGCGACAAATGTCACGCTGGCTGACCTGCCGGGCGGCCACTGTGAGGAGCCGGTCAGTCGACCACGTACGCGGGCTTCTCTCGCTCAAGCCTCAAACTTGACCGGCAGAAACTTTGGCCAAGACCGAACAGCAGGAGGCTGCCCTGTGGGCTTCACCTTTTAACCCAACCCCCCTTCGGAAACAAAAGGGATAAAAGGGAAACCCAAATATCTCTAAAGATGCTCCGTCATGGGCCACCGGAGGAATAGCCTAAAAACTAGTTGACCACGGAGGAACTTCTCAAAAAAGTAGTTTCTTTCTTTATCTGCTGAGTAAAACATTCACTTCGCAACAATAGCAACGGAGACCGGGTCATCCAGACTCTTGGGTTGATCAAAGAAGCCGTTACAGAAAAAAAGAAGACATCAAGTTTTAAAAAATGAAATGTCAACATAAATCGCAGCCAAGCAAAAATTATCTCTTCTCCCAGCAGCGCATCCTGAATGATGGAATGTAGCGAGAGTGCTAAACGCCCCGTCCCCGAAGTCGGAGATGCCAAAATTGAAAACCCAACAATTAAATAGGTGCTAGAAGGACCCAAGGGTATGGATCTGGGCCGGTCGGCTAACGTGCTTTAGCTTTCTGGGTTTTCCCATATTTTACATAATATCTCCAACACGCATGATCTGTCCAGTATTTCTCCTCACCTTTTAAAAATTTGATTTTCATACAAGGAAAATAGCAGAAGTTGAAGGACACCAGAATTTTATGAAGAGATAGTAACTGCTTTTTTCGCAATGTTGGATGTGAGATTGGAGGGTGAGAGGAAATCCCAGAATAGCATAAAATGATGAAGTGCTAATTATGTGGATAT